GCAGGTCTCCCTTGAAAAAGAGATCAATGATCTCAATGGGATACACCTGGATAAATAAAGGTTTGAAATGAAATGAAATGAATGTTGCTTCCATTATTATGTGTAAGCTATACATTAATTTCAATTTTTCATGATTTGTCAATTGTCATGTAATTTATGTGTCTGTGTTTATTTTGTTATGTTTAAAATAAAAAATGCAAATACAAAATAAAGATATAACTCAACAGAACTGTGTCTTTCATTGTCTACTAAATTCTTAAATTAACGTCTGAGATTTGGTTCACACAGGTGAGACCTTGGCATTTGCTTTATGGATAAAATAAAATTCCCCAGTAAAATGAATAATAGTGACAGTCATATGAACATTCCGTTTTTTGTTTTCATAGTATATTACACCCTTGGCTCTCAGTTTAACTGATTAATTAGTTTAATATGTCGACAAAGTCCCTGATTGTTTTCAGAATCCCAATATGTAGCTTACGGGTTTCACAAAAGTTTAGTTTCTTATTCATTAAAAAAACTAAAAGCATATGTGTAACCCTAACCGATTAACATAGCAGGAATGGCGTTTATTTAGATTCCCCCATACAGGAGAGCAATAACTCATGCACCCCTAGTTACTTGTTTTTACAAAATGTTTTGTAAAATATGTGTCCACATGAAGACATATATTTGTTGAAATGGTTTTAAAAGTGAAATCAGTGTTAAAAAGGTCCAAAGTCTCAGACATTAATAAAGAGATCATGTTCCTGCTTCATAAGCCACAAAAAGGGACACACCTCGGGCAGTCGAATGGGACTACTTTCACGTAACTATTTTTGGTTAAAGCAATCATTTGGAGTTAAACCTAATCTTTTTTATTTAAACTTAATGTTATTGCTTTCAACTAACCTATTACAGTTATGTGAAATCTGCAGTGTTGACCTAATACATTGAATTAAAGTCAACGTTTCAGTTTTTTCAGTGTACTTTACAGAAAGTGCACACACAGAAAGGAAGCCTTTATTAAATACTTTAAAGGTGGGGTATGTAATTTTGGAGAAACCAGCTCGAGTGCGCTAGAATTTGAAAAAACACAGCCGGAACAAATCTGCCACTTCCTTAGCCCCTCCTCCAACACACACAAACGCGCACATGACCAATGTGGGCACAAGATAAGTTTGTGCACGAGATGGAAGACTGACAGGCAGGTAGGCCATCCAGTTATTTTAGCCGGCTAAAATGATTGGTCTTGCTTTTCACAGCGCTACGGCTTCCACAGATGAATTTGTATGTATTTATTGTCAAAGCATTTAATATATTCATTGCTATCGGGATGTTAAGAGCATTCCATGGAATATAACAAAAAGTGTTTCTGAAATAAATTACATACCCCACCTTTAACTCAACTCAAACTGATGTGTATATTGGTTACTTAATCTGCATAACTTGCACATTGGTCTTGCAACATAATCTGCACTATTCTACTTTATTTAAAAAATGTAATTTGTTTTTCCGTTTTATGTCCTATATATATATTATATATATATATATATATATATATATATATATATATTATATATGTTGCATTGTTGGAGGAGCTTGGGACTTAAGATTTTCATTGACATAAGTACACTGTAACATCTGTGCATAATGATAATAAAGCCCTTGAACCTTGAATTTGAACACTATCAGAGATGCTGAATAATATAGGTTTCATAAAGACTAGCAATGCCGATGAGTCTTAAGTGATTTTGGGTGTGTCCATTGAACTCTATATAACTCTATTGTACCTGCAGAATGCTTAAACATAATGTATTGAGCCAGGGTTTTACAAATCTGTGAAATGATCCAAACGCATTTTCAAACCCTCTCATATTTGACCGTAAACATAATTCTTGCAGAGAACATCCCTCTATGACATTTTGATTTTATTTAATAATCTTTGCCTTAAGACTGTCACGTACGGAGCCCTGGAGTACGGAGCCCTGGAGTACGGAGCCCTGGAGTACGGAGCCCTGGAGTACGGAGCCCTGGAGTACGGAGCCCTGGAGTACGGAGCCCTGGAGTACGGAGCCCTGGAGTACGGAGCCCTGGAGGGTTCAGAGACACAAATAAATGAAACGAGGCCGCGTTTTATTAATTTGTGCGCATGAGATGTAATTCGTCAGTAACTTTCTCACTTAAATGGAGCGCACAGGAGACAACCGTTTCATTGCAGACTGTTATGTTTATGTGGGAAAATGACAGTGCATACATTATTTGAGATATACAGTTGCAAGAAAAAGTATGTGAACCCTTTGGAATGACCTGGATTTCTGCATTGGTCGTAAAATGTGTTCTGATCTTCATCTAAGTCACAACAATAGACAAACACAGTCTGCTTAAACGAATACCACACAAACAATGATATGTTTTCATGTTTTTATTGAACACACCATGTAAACATTCACAGTGCAGGGTGGAACAAGTATGTGAACCCCTAGGCTAAAGACTTCTTCAAGAGCTAATTGGAGTCAGGAGTCAGCCAACCTGGAGTCCAATCAATGAGACGTGATTGGAGGTGTTGGTTAAAGCTGCCCTGCCCTATAAAAAATACACACCAGTTTTGAATGTGCTATTCTTAAGAAGCATTGCCAGATGTGAACCATGCCTCGCACCAAAGAGCTCTCAGAAGACCTACGATGAAGAATTGTTGACTTGCATAAAGCTGGAAAGGGTTACAAAAGTATCTCTGAAAGCCTTGATGTTCATCAGTCCACGGTAAGACAAGTTGTCTATAAATGGAGAAAGGTCAGCACTGTTGCTACTCTCCCTAGGAGTGGCCGTCCTGTAAAGATGACTGCAAGAGCACAGCGCAGAATGCTCAATGAGGTGAAGAAGAATCCTAGAGTGTCAGCTAGAGACTTAAAGAAATCTCTGGCACATGCTAACATCTCTGTTGACGAATCTACGATACGTAAAACACTGAACAAGAATGGAGTTCATGGGAGGACACCACGGAGGAAGCCACTGCTGTCCAGAAGAAACATTGCTGCACATTTGAAGTTTGCAAAAGAGCTGGCATTTGCCATTTCTGCATGATTTCAAAGTAAGAGCATGATGGTTTGTTTAATGCTCTGTTTTTGTATTATAATGAACAGCGGAACGTTAGATGCATTCTTCATCACCATCACCATCATCATCATGTTATAGTGATACAGTTAGTTTGTGTTATTGATTCAATATAGCATATATCGAGCACTTTCGTTGATGTTGAAGTGCAGGCTATATACGCCACTTTCGGGTCCCGGGGGAGCAGCTGGCAGCGAAACAGCTGTTTTGCCATCAGCAGGCCATCACGTGGTTTCCGAAAATAACCGAGTGACACGAGTAGATTTTAGCCGAGACCGGCGGAAAATATGTCTCAAAATTCCGTGTGTGTAAAAAGACGATCCGTGAACAGAGATTTGAGATCCGTGAACAGAGATTTGAGATCCGCAAGCGCATTTTTGGTCCACAAATACAAATTGGATTCACAAATGCCTGATCGAAAGGTGTAAATGTTAAAGAGATATTCACAGATCTTTTTTTTATTTCTGAACATATTTAGCGTATTTGCAGATCCGTTTTACACTTGCAAATGTATTTGTGAGTTTGCAAATCTTTTAAATGCATTTGTGGATGTTGTTTTACATTTACAAATCACATATTTACACACAAATTATTTTTATGTTCACACAAATAATTATGAGACATATCTATGCCCATACATTTCGCTCTCTCAAAAGTTGGGCCATTTTGTCATCATGCGCCAATGAGCAGCTCTCATAGGAAAGAACGAGACCCCGCCTCCGACGCTGTATCCAGTTCTTAATATACATCCATGGGGGGCCCAAAACAATATTTGAACCTTGTTACGCAATTTCGACCCCCCCCCCCCCCCCCCCCCCCCCCAATGGAATTGACAATAAAGTTGACTTTGACTTATTTTGACCTATTGTGGTACTATGCCAAACGAACTCAGTTACCACTTACCATGAGTAATAAAGTGGGTTGGACGGAGTATAAAGTCATAAAAGTCCAAAGTCTAAGTTCAGATTATGTGTGATTATGTTCCTGCTTCACAGATAAATAAAGGATACATCTCGAGCAGCGAGTAAGTCATATTATTCTTCAGATCACATTTTTATTTTGTATTTTCGGTTTAAAGAAGCTCTTATTAGATTGTGTTGTTGTGTTGTACATAGTATATTATTTGGTAGCTGAGCAAATTGATCCAACGTATTTGAAAGCACTGAATGGTTCTAGCTACTAATGTCCATATAAATTAGAGAAGAGCTCACTTCCTATATCCAAAGGTTTGACTAAAAGATTATGTTAACTGTTTTTAAAATGACTTGTGTGGCCATGGGATTTCTAATCCTCAGAACAAACAAGTTAATGTTGGACATTCATCAAAACCCTACATTATGCAAAGCCATTGTTTATAATATTGTTACTAGAACACAGGACAAAAACACTATGGTCAGGGTAAGATTGTAGCTAGGGTTAACAACAATGTATTGTTAATTGCACTTCAGTGATCCATCCCCCTGATAACTATAATTTTTAGGGTGGGCTTCACAAGTCTGTAGAGGAAATATAAAAGAACAAGCTTTATAGATAAGTTCAAACCCTTGCAGTTTTCTGTTGGAACATGTACTTGTACATGTACTGTACTTCTTTGTTGATGCATGCCAAAGAAAAGTGCTGACTTTTATGGTGCCAATAACTTTTATTGAGAATACAGCTCCACCAGTCATTATACAATCTTTCCTCTCAACATGTATTATCTCCACCAAGGAGGTCATGTTTTCTGACATGTTTGTCATCAAGTTTTAGAGTGGGATCACACTGAATAAGATTATTGATTCATGTTTCACTTTCTTTAATGCATGGTCTTGGTTGAGATAGATGCAATTTATATACAGTATATTCTGTCTGTTGTTTATTGTTGTCACATGTACCTGCTGTCTCACTCAGCTGACTTTGGATCCAAGATGGCTGGGAATACAGCCGACCCTGCTGAGACCCGGGCTGAACCCAAACTCACCAAGAAGCAGGTGCTCATGTTGTATTAAAGACACCTTATGTCCTATGTAATAATGCAGCATTAAGAACATGGCCATAGACTAAGAGTGACTACAGAGTTTACTGTTGGAGAGATTTATACAAGTCGGTACAGTGATTCCACTATGTTTTAAAGCCTTTTCTTTGTTGTTTTAAGCTAACTTTAATGAGGATAATATCGTGAATCTCAAATATTTTAAGATAATCATGCCATTACATGTTCATAACTTCAAATGCCCAAGACCAAGTATTGTCCCTAAATGATAATATGCCACCAAAAATAACCTTATTTCATATTTAGTAGATCACCTGAAATGACTTTTTCCTCATTGTTAAAATCTGATTAAAATTGTCTTTTTTATATATATTAGTATTATCAAGAATGAATGTTGTCATTATAAATAATTATTATAGCAACGACATTTATTTTTATTGTATTTGTATTGTACATATGATGCTATTATGACACCCCTTTTTGTAGAGGTGTGGATTGATTTATATTAATCAAATGTGTTCTTTTTCTACAAACAGCTCAAAGCCCAAGAAACAACCACTGGTTGCAGCTCGGCACCATGGAATAAACCCAACTTCAGTGCAGAACTCCCGGTGAGCTAACTAACACGATAACATGAAGATGAATACATTAACGCGGTGCAGTCCTCACTGAAAATGTGTCTTACAGCAGGTGACGCATTTTGAACAATCTTCACAAAGCTATCCGCGTCAAGGCAACCTCAACAAACAACAAACAAAGGTAAACAGATGGAAGCAATGTGTAAATGTATAGAAGACTGTGAAAGTACAATGAAAGAAAAGACATTGGATAGCAGGATAACCTTTCTTTCTTTCCAGCCTGATCTCAAGTCAATGCAGTCTCTGACAGAGTGCCAGCAGCTTCTTCAAATACTGGCAGAGGAAGTGAACAGCATCGGTCAGGTACGACAGAAAACATTCAGTCCTCTTGAAGACTACTTTATTTTACAGAAATGTTATATTACTGTCACTGGGGTGGGTAAGGAAGGCAGGACCCATATATATATATATATATATATATATATATATATATATATATATATATACTCCAGGTATAAGAGTGTAACAAAAGGCAAGCTTTATTAAATAAAAAAGTGCAAAAATAAGTAAGGTCAGACAAAATCAGAAAAGTAGCAAACAAAAACTAGGCATGCAGACAAGAGAACAGAAACCACACGAAGGAGAGAAGACGACAAAGAGCACAAGGGAAGACAAGCTATATACACACAAGACTAATCACAGAGAGACAGCTGGAGTGGGGGGGCAGGGACAAGGGCAGCAGGTGAACACAATCCGACCATCACTGGACAACTAAAAGACAGAAAGTAGAACCTGACAACACACAAAGAGGGAACATATATAACATATATGAAGTGTATTGCACATTACGGTTTTTATCTCTATAATCAAGAGCAAGTTTATTGCACCCGTTTTCTTATGAGAGAGTTATGAGCAGTGTTATTGGACAGCAATGTCTTCCAGGGGCAAAGGGCAATTGCAGAGGCTTTGCACATAAAGGGGCCCTATTCTGCTCATTTTCAGGTTCATATTAGTATTTAGTAACTCTCCTGTGATGTGTTTCAATGTTCAAAAAGCTCTTTATTTTTCTCATACTGCCTGTGCTGCAGCACCTCTTTTCACCCTCTGTCTGAAACCAGAGCTCAGTCCGCTCTGATTGGTTAGCTGGCCGGCTCTGTTGTGATTGGTCAACCTCTTAGAGATGTCCCGCCCCTTAGCCTATCAAGTACAATGTGTTGGAGCGCTAGCCAATAGAAGCGCAAGTGTTACATAGTGATGTCACTATGTAACTTAAGTAAACAAAGGAGTCCACTGGAGACGTTTCAGGCAGGGGGGAACAGGGATTTTAGCCTTTGCAGCCTTTACATGCACAACACGCTAGAGCAGGGGTTCCCAACCTTTTTTCCCAAGAGCCCCCCCAAATGACTCCTGTTGAAAGTTGCGCCCCCCCACACACACACACACACACGGGGGCGGGGGGGGGGGAAACAGTGGTAACTAAAGTTTAAAAGTCTCAAAAATGCTACAACTACTGTCACAAACTGGATGAATGTGGAGTATTTTGTTAAAGGAGGATGAAAGCGTAATTAAGGAGCACTATTGGAGTGACTTTGATGGTTATTGGACTCAGGATTAATTCATTTGGATTCCCGCTGTATGAAGAAATTAAAGGACGGTGCAAGTGGAACCAATTCACAAAGGGATTAAACTGTTTAAAACACATGCTCAAAGTAAGCCGGATTTTGCCGATGTGGATTCAAAAATCGTAAATAATCTACAAAATGGAGGAGACCGATCTGATCGGAGCAACTGTGACAAATAATCTGAAACCGGCATGGACAATGACTATGTTTTAAAAATGCGCTTATCCAGACAAGCCTGGTTTGGACATTTTACGGGCAGAAGAAACATTTCTATTAAAGAAAGAATTATACATTTCTGTCTTTTTATGCCTATAATCACTAACTTGAATTTGCATTCAAATTAATTAATCAACTATTTTGTATATGTTATTGTAATGTAGAGACGAGGCTTTTAGTGACAATCATGTATTGCGTTACAATTATATATATATATAAAAATAAATAAATAAAAAGTCTAAATATGATATAGGGCCTCAAATCATCTGAGGCCTGGCGCCCACCCTGCGATCTTTGGCGCCCCCCCTAAGGGGGTCGCGCCCCCCAGGTTGGGAACCACTGCGCTAGAGGAATAACAAAACGGCAAAGAATATAATGGGAAACTAGTGTTTAAATCATGTCTGGCCAAGCTGTATTACTTTGACTATTTAAAAAAAAAGAACCGTTAAGATGATTAAAAATACAATTGTATTACATTCCCTTGTTTCAGGTGAAGCGTGTCAGTGAGAAGGCTGCACCAGGGGGGGGCAGCAGAGAGCCAGGAAGCCTGCAGAACAGCAGGAGGCTGATCCTCAAATGGGCTGAGGAGCTGGAACTAAACATGGTTATTAACCCTTTGATGAAATCATTAACCCTCCATATATCCCTTTCTATCATCTACAATCGTATTAGCCTGACTTTCTCTTTTTCTTTTTAGAACAATAGCAATTGTTTTTTTAATGTTGTCAAACTTGCACTTTAAGTTATTTCTGTATACTGAGGCCCCTTTCTTGTTGTAGCTATAAGTCATGGTTATATAGTTAAGTAACTCTGGTTCTCCATTTAATGTATTCCCCAGGTAAAAAAGGAAACCAAGCCAACAGATGAAAACAAAACAAGAAGAGAGGATCCAGGAGAAAAAGGGAAGACAGATCTGGAAAAAGACAATGAAAGGCTTCAGCAGTGGGCAGTGGAGCTGATGAAAATCAAAGAGGTGTGTGTGAGACAAATATGAATCAATTCCTCTTAAACCAAATCTTGAAGGTTCACTTTCTGTGTGTGTGTGTGTGTGTGTGTGTGTGTGTGTGTGTGTGTGTGTGTGTGTGTGTGTGTGTGTGTGTGTGTGTGTGTGTGTGTGTGTGTGTGTGTGTGTGTGTGTGTGTGTGTGTGTGTGTGTGTGTGTGTGTGTGGTGTGTGTGTGTGTGTGTGTGTGTGTGTGTGTGTGTGTGTGTGTGTGTGTGTGTGTGTGTGTGTGTGTGTGTGTGTGTGTGTGTGTGTGTGTGTGTGTGTGTGTGTGTGTGTGTGTGTGTGTGTGTGTGTGTGTGTGTGTGTGTTTCCAGTCTAACGGCGTGTCTGATGAGGAACTGAAGAAGCTGCTGTATCCCAGAGGACGCAAAGATTCAAAGATGGCCGCCATCCTCCCTCTGCTGGAGTTTGTGGCTTGGTCCCTGCTGTCAGAGGACACTGAGGTGTGTGTGAGAATGTATGTCTCTAATGACACGAGACAATATTCTAAGAGTCACTTCTGATTGATTAATATGACCCTACAGGAGGCTGTATCCAAGCTGTGGCTGCCAACCAAACAGAAGGCCTGGAGGACAGGAAGTGGAAGCCCCAGATACATTCCTAACTCAGGTGACTCCTCCACTGCCTGTGGTTAGAAAAGTCTTTGAAATAAAGATGAGTTTCTCTTTGATTATCTCCTTATTTTGATCACAGATATCTTAACAGTCACGCGTTAATAGCACAATGGATTTCAGTGGATGGATGCCCCATTGATATGCCTTTTGGTGGGGACCTAGAGTGTGTTGATAATATTTATATCATTTTGGAACTAATAAATACAAAACAAATCATAAATAAATATTAGGAACATAGTAATATTTTTATATAAATGTGTTATTATAAGTAATAAACTGTATAAATAACAGGCTTAAGGAAGTGTCTTAAAATGATTTAACCAATCAAATTAGTTTCTTAAAATATCATGTTTGATTTCTGGACTACAATAGGAGATATAAACCATATTTTTTCCCTTAATGAATATGTATATACATTCGTAGATTTGCATGTTTTTAATGTTTTAAATGTATGCATAAAGTTATAGACCATTTATAACAAAAATAAATGTTGCGTATGCATAATGGTATATTTGATTGTCTTTCAGTGTGGGAGTGGATTCAGAGCGCCCAAGGTAATCTGGATTTATATATTATAAGTGGTCTACAACAGAAGATTACAAGATTGAATTACAGCTTGTTACAACCTGCTGATGCTTACAATATTCCTGAATTTGAATCCTAGTCTCGGTGCGGTTGGACATCAGAACCAGTCATCCCTGGCTGGATGTGTCCTCAGATTGCCTGAAGGTCCGAGAGGCAGCAGTGTCCTCCACGTATGTCCCAAACTACAGCCAACAGTCTGCTCAGAGGCCCTGTGTGCTGGGGGACATTGTCATCACCGAAGGGAGACACTATTGGGAGGTGGAGGTGTCCCCTAAGGGCAGCTGGAGAATAGGTGTGGTGTCAAAGACTGCTCCCAGGAATCTAAAGTCCACCATGACTCCCATAAGTGGATACTGGACCCTGTGGAGGGGCGCCAGTCTGTGGGCCTGTACCGAGAGACCCACTAAGCTGCGGAGGGCGGCTCCCCCCCGAGTGATCGGGGTGTTTGTGGACTCTGAGGAGGGTCAGGTGTCTTTTTATGATGCTGAGAGAAGGGTTCACATTTATACTTTCTCTGACGTTTTCAAACACAGCCTCATCCCTCTGCTCAGCTACCTGGATGGAGAAACGCTCCTTAAAATCATCCCAGCACAGATTCCAGAGAAGATGTGACTAATATGAATCAATGTGACGAAATCAGACATCGTGGTCCTAGAGGAATATTGGCCTTGATTTCAATATAGTAGATTCAAATCCTGAATACTATAGGACCACCTTCTTTGACAACTTTATTTGCCAATGTTCTCGTGTTTTTTACTAAATTAAATTAAATGAAATGAAATCATACACAATTTTTGGCTTTTTGTTATTTAGACATACACTGACACAATGAGTTTATACTCATTACAAATAGTTTTGAATCCAATGCATTATGTAAACAGCGGTAGCGTAGTGCACACAATATGTTACTGTTTCATAATTGTAATGGTTTTTTTATTTTAATTTATTAATATTATCATTATTATTTGATTATAATTATCATTATTTTTATGTATTATTGTTATTATTTTTATCATTATTGTTGTTGTCATAAGGGGTAGCCTCGTGCAAACAATACGTTACCTTCATCATTGTCATGGTGTGATTGTTATTATTACGAATAATATTGTTGTTGTGGGTATGTCGTTATTTTTATTTTTATAACAATGGCTAATTCAACCAGCTGAATCATTGTGGATGCGCTAGCGGAACCTTTGTGTTATCGTGCGACCCGGGGGGGGGACTCTTTATCTGTTACACATTGAACGGCAACGTCTGAACGTCACAACAAACCCCACAATGGCGGAGGGAAGTGTTTTGGTTGAAGGGTTGTCCTTCATGGACCCTTTTAAAGGGTTTTTGTTGACATATTTCATGCCAGAGTCATGTTACGACGAGTTCTTTCTCAATTTCAACTTGTTGGACGGTACGTGGCTCCTTTGTATTAAATACCGGAAGTTTAAAGGGAAAGACACTTGAAGATGTTGCAATGCGTAACGTCATGCTGATAATAACTCAGAAACATGCTGTACATTCACCCTTAGGTCAGCAGACGGGTAGCTGCTATCGGGTCGTCAGTTTGTCTATTTTTAAAAACGCCGAATTCATAGTGACATATTCAGAATGTTATTTAAATGAATCATGAGTCACTTCATTTAACAGCAGTGGAGCTACCTGTCACCTACTAAAGTGACCTGTTTTTATTTGCCAATGTGTTGTCATTTAACTTTTATACCTGGTTTATGTTCACTGGAAACTGACCTGACATCAATCATTGATCACCACAGTGAAGAACAAGACAAAACTGCCATATCCGAGATCAAGAGCCAAGCCTGACTAAATCAATGGTTAACACTGATCAGACTTATTCTAACTTTATGACACAAAATATTCCTGAATGCCTACTTAAGCACTGGGTGACATGTCCCTTCATTGCTTCATGAACACACACACTATTTTTTATTTTATTACACACTGTCCTGCAGCTTCATTACTCCTAGAGCCCGTATGTTAATGAATCCGCGGCTGCAAATAGTCCCAAACAAATGCACTATTTCCTCCTGTTCATGAAACCTTTTGTGTGTGTGTTTCTGTGTGATCTATGACAGCCAGCTAATCTTTTTATATTTCTTAATTGCAGTACCATGTCTGAAGATTCTACTAAGCAAAGGCCTGGGGATCGGCATCATCCTGGGATCAGTGATGGGTAAACCTCATCTCCACTTCTCTTTATATGTGTCTGTGAAATTTTGAGTGAATTTCGAAAAGATTTTAGTCATTATTGTTTTTGTCGTTTTGTAATTCCTTTATGTCCTCCCTTCTTTACAGTGAAACTGCCTCAGATCTTCAAGCTGATGGGATCAAAGAGCGCTGAGGGGCTGAGCTTCCAGACCATCCTGCTGGAGCTGCTGGCCATCACAGGAACAATGGCCTACTGTATCCACAACAAGTTCCCTTTCAGGTTGGGCCGCAACGCAATGCAAATCAACCGTTTGAACTAGAGATTGACACGGAGCTCTCTGACTTCTGCCTCTGTAGTTTGATATGTTGAGTAACATGTGGCGGTTGTTTCCACAGTGCCTGGGGCGAGGCTCTGTTCCTCATGCTGCAGACGATCGTCATTGGCTTCCTCATTCAGCGCTATGGAGGAAACACCAGCAGAGGTAAGACTGCGTAGAGGACAGCAGCACTTCCCGCTCTTCCGACATGCCCCGCCCCTTTTGGGTGGAAGCAGCCTTTCTGATTTGACGTTCTCCCCCAGGTCTGCTGTTTATCGTGGTGTATGTCGGGCTGCTGATTCTCGTGCTGTCCCCGGTCACCCCCCTGTCCGTGGTCACCTACCTGCAGGCCTCTAACATGCCAGCCATCATCATCGGCAGGGTAGGACAAGACCTGTCATTCATTTATAGTGTTGGAGCTATTCATTGTTTTATATACTTATTTGTTTTACTTTTTATTTATCGGCATCTTCCATTAAACAGATACACTTTGTTCAGAATATAAACTTTACATATTGCAAAGGTAAATCACAACAAAAACAAATATTAAACAAAAATACAAAATGAAAATATATATAAATAAATAAAAATAAAGGAAAAAACAAAATCTTTTAGAGTTAAATTAAAGCTGATTACAAAGCAATGACTTGTACAGTTCATATTTGGTCATGGGTCGAATAAGACAGGGATGATTTCCAAATTCTTCTTTTCTGTTGCATTATTTCATAGTTAAGCATTCATTTTATTGCTCTTTTAATAGAATAAATGTAACGCCACGACGGCAGTTAGATTTGTTATGGTTTGAGGACAAATAACTGCGACATATAGTCATACACTTTTGACATTTAACATTTGAATCATTATTCAACTAATTTAGTGATTGCTACCTGTTCCATGCTGTTTGTCTCAGCTGATCCAGGCTGTCTCTAACTTCCGGAATGGACACACTGGCCAGCTGTCTGCCATCTCCGTCTTCCTGCTGTTTGCCGGTTCCCTCGCCCGCATCTTCACCTCTCTACAGGTAACATAAAATGTCTGTTTCCATCTTTCATTTCCTATAAAAATCCCCATGTTGAAAAACTCACTTTGCGCCATATTGTTCTCTCACAGGAAACTGGAGACACGCTGATGGCCCTCACCTACGTCATATCCTCCACCTGTAACGGCATCATCGCCCTGCAGGTGCTCTACTACTGGAACAGCTCTCCAGAACACAAGAAGAAAAAGAAGAGCGAGTAGGCAAAAGGACAGTCGCTAAACTTGAATCAACGAGCAACACTTTTCTTTTCATATTCAACTATTTCAAAGAAGTGTCTTTAAAACTGGAATTGACAGAGACACTGGGAAGTATGGGGCATTGATTCTGCTGGACCAACCCTCGAAGGAAGGATGGGAACATGACATGCTGAGCAGGCTTTATGATTGACAGTTATCTGTTCTGTTGGTGGTGTGTATCTGTCCCTCTGAGCAATACACTGTAATCACATTCCTCTTATCCAGTTTTCCTCATTGCTGTCGGGCTCGTATTTTCAAATGTTTTGGAACATGTTTGGCTGTTGATTTTTCAAATCCAGGTCCTGTATTTGCAATACTAATCAACAAGAAAAACTTTTTGGGAAATTATTTGAAACGGTTTTGGATGCATGTAAGACTGATTTGTTGTTTTATCATTTCACATAAACAGAATTCCTCACATGCCTCTACACTTGCAAGATATTTTCTGTGGTCTTAATTAGAATTTTTTTTATGGAGTTTTAAATATGTAAAGTATAATGCACATCTCCAGTATTTCTGATACCCAGCTAATGATCCAAAGAGAGTTTACAAATCACCTTTTACTTATTAAAAAGAGTACTGACTAGTTATTATTTCTGATGCTAACATGTTTCTCAATAACTACACGGATAACACTTACCCACCTTATGACAACATTGTGTCTCTTACCGGAGGAAACTCCATCATGTGACATGGAGTTTCCTGGTAAGAGAACTTGTTTGTCCTGAAAGTGCCTGTTTTCCCGTCAGTCAACAAAGAGTAGAGAGTTACACTTAGCTATGGTGACTGGAAATATTACATCAGTAAACTGCATATCTATAGAAGGGATTTACATTCTTAAATGTACACATATTATTGTCTTTACAGCACTAACCTGGGCCCTGTTGTCCATTCTAACAAAGACAACAACAACAAATTATATATATATGTATTACTCTGAGGGTGGGAGTTTACCGGAGCTAAATTAGTTCCAAACAATGTCATATAAGTTAACATTTCTATTGTTTTTGTTGAGGTCTTTCAACCCTAACCCATCTGCATATACAACAAGATAAGCCAGAACTTTATTCTTAATGTGTAACTTATTAGCAGCAAAAAACAAAACCTGAATCTATTTTATAATTAACACAACATAAAACCATACCAAGGCTGCGTCAGTGTTTTTATGTTACAAATTCGAAGCATAAATTGAACAGAATTAGTGGAGTATGAGTCTTTGGGATGCTTTGAGCTAGCTGCTAGCATTTCACAATGAAAATGCTAACAAATAAACAGTTACAATTAGCATAAGCATAACAAACGCTAAATTGCCAGCTAAGACTAGCTAGCTAGCATTGGTTAGCAATGTTAAGGAAGATTCATGTAAACTGATACTAATTGAGTTGCTAATGTTGGCTTATGTATTACTAGAACACATTAACAGTCAGCTACTTGGAGCTACACTGAAAAACTGCAACATTGACTTAAATTAAATGTACAGAATCAGAATACCTTTATTCGTCCCACAGAGGGGACATTTGCATTTGTTACAGAAAGAAAAGAGCCAAAGACAGCTTAATATTAACAAAGAAGCAGGCATAAAAAAATATTCAAACACAATTTACAAAATACACAGTTCTGAAGATAAAGCAGCCAGGTCTATATTGCACAGCTATTAATGGCATATATATTGCAGCTATTGCTCATCATTGGTATTTCACAACAAGAGGTGTTATAGCATAGTCATGTTGTTATATGCAAGGGTCTACCAGGGACACATTTCATATAACTGTTTTAGGTTCATTGAAAGCAATAATTTTAAGTTAAAGTTATATTTGCTTTCAACTAACCTAAAAAGGTTATGTAAAATGTGTTGACGTGATACATTTAATTAAAGTTAATGTTTGAGTTTTTTCAGTATACCTTCTAATTATTTGTCTATCACAAGATAGTCACACCCC